CAGTATATAATTTAGTCTTTATCTGATACCCTCGAACTTTCAAATCTTCTATCTGCTTCATGCTAAGGCGGACAAAAAGATTCGAGTTGCTGGGAAAGTAATTTTGTTTTCAATGCAAATGTTTTTTAAATTGTTGAATGTTTGGCATTCATTCTGTCTGCTGTTTCTCGGGATTCTAGCCTTAAATTTTTTTTCGCTATTTTTAAAACCACCGACCGTCTGCCGGAACGTTTATTACTTAAATGAAAATCGCCAAAACAAAAGTTTTTACATGAAAGTTGGCATGTTTGTTTCCTCAGCATTTTTACTTTGAAATGCATCAGAAATATTTTTCGCAACAAGTTATCGTATTTACATTTTGAGGTTATTGTGCTTTTATCTTTTAAACATGTAAATAATAATCGATTGAAAATATATTTTGTCTTCTATTCATCGTTGAATTTTATCAGATGGAGCGTACGCATTTTCTACACAATGAGTCGTACAATGATTATTTTATAAATTTATAAGAAACAATGCTTAACCCCTAACTTTAATCTCAATTTTGAAAATAATATTACTTGTCTGTCAATCCAATACGGAATATAAATCCCTTCATAGATTTTTTTTTCAAACTTGGTTACTTTGTACTATTTGCTCCGCAAAATTCGAATCTACTCGAAAAAAATCTGCAACGTAAATCGGGGATCAGTTATACCGCACATCCACGCCAAAAACAAACGGGAAATTGACATTTTGATTCGAGCTCTTTTTCAAAGAAAAAAAATATGGAAAAATAAAGAAAAAACGTATAAATCCAATATAAATAATCCAACAGTAGCGATTAAAGCGCCAATGGCGTGGACGTGACGACACAATAGTCTGCTACGCATTGCTGAATAAATAAGAGAGAAAACATAACATTTTAATTATCGGGCTTCATAATTTTGAGCGGAACAAACGAATAGGCGGCGTTGTCGTCGTCGAGCGCACTTTTCTAAATGAAAATCTGCAAACTATTCAATCCTGTAACAATCCTTCGTTAGAAGAATCTCTGGACTCGGCGCGACGAGCGTTAATTTATAATAAAATTCTCTCTCGTACATTTTCAAGTTTCTCCTGGAAATTATTGAAGAGAAACAATCATTTCTGCAACAAATCTCTTTTACGATCAGATTCGCTGGCGTGCGTTTCCGGCGGACGAAAGATGCATTTATCGCAAACACTGATTTATTTATGGTTTTTCCATGACCCTTCCCGACCCCGACCTCGCCGTCAATACATATTCGGTGCATCTCATTCGATTATGTCCCACGCGCGTCTTGTCGCGTTATCAGGTATGAAACTGACTAGTGCAATCCAATTATCGTCATGACGGCCGCCGATGTCACGACAGATCTCGTCTCGGTCGGGATTTTATTCAGCTTTTATGTGTTACGAGTGTCGTCGTCGCGCCGAGAGCTTTACTCGAGCTTTATTCGAGCTGGTTTCAACCGGCTGAGAAAGATTACTGTATAAAGAAGGAGAGGCGACGTCGTATGATGGGAGTTTAGATGCGAGCCGAAGTGTTCATACGTGAGCAGCATATTTGCAACTTATTGTACTTTTATATGCGAATAAATCAATCTGTATAAAAATTTCTAATTCCTTTGCATATTACTTGCTAGTATATTTTGCATAAATGAATAATAAATATATATGTCAAAGAAAATTCCATATGGTTGTAGATTATAGATTATTCTATTATAAAAGTACTTACACATAAATCTTCGCTGACATGTAAATCCATAAAATTCATAAAAAAAGATATAAATTTCAAATTTAAAAGTCCATATATCATGTTTGAAATATTGCAACATGCGGATTAAACGGAAGAAAACTGTAAAATGGGTTACTTGTAAAATAATTTACTATAATCCTTACACTATTATTTCATCGGTTAAATGTCAGTGTTTTTGTCCGTTTACGATGTTGACCGTTTAATTAATAACATTTTTAATAATCTTAATGAGCGACGTGTTATTATACTGCAAATCATTATCGCGACTGCAGCAGACAGTGCGGAAATTAGTAACACGTCGTCGTCGCCGCTATTAAGCCTGTTTTTCGCGCTCCCTTGACGAAAAAAAAAGCACTTGATGCTGATCCAATTAGACGCCACGATCTTCTTCGCTGACTCGGTTTGCTTCGGAAAGCAGAAATTTGCTGAAAGCTGAAGTCTAAAGTCGCGCGAATATTACCACGTCATAGTTAGCCACTTTACGCTCAGGAATGATTACTCCCTTTTGATGACCATCTCTCTCTCTCTCTGTCTCCCGTCTTTTTACTCTGTACATCCTTGAGATTCTTAAGGGTGGAAGCTGGTTGTAAACTTACTCAACCGATATTTTACTGTTAACGTTACGACGCGTTTTTGCGCGACTCAAAGACTGCTGCTGTCTTCCCCTTAAAGGTGGACTAAACATTTGCTGCTTCTGCCTTTAATATAATCGAGTTAAAGATTATATTAAATTGCGAGTTTCAACGCAAATTTATAATAGTTATTTAATACTTCAAATTAATGTTCCATTCGTGTCATGTTTCGCTATCACATTAAATGTGATGAAATAAAATTTTATTTATTACTTGCACGAGTTGTAAGATTATATAAAATACTTGATAATATTCGAAAAGATACTCAGTGAATTTGGATTTATTTTGTAATCTTATTTAAAATTAAACCTAAACGTTAATTTTCGGGGTCTTTTTAATGTCAGTGTTATACGATATGAAACATTTTAATTGTGTTCGGAAATAAAATCACTGTTAGATTTTTATCATTATCAGCTTCACATTCGTCGAAAAAAATGGTACGCCCCGGAAATCTGATACAAATCTTCCCAGATGGCTCGTATACTTAATGGAAAAATCGATACTTGCGACGTTACCAACTGCTAGTTTTAATATCTTGCAACAGTATAGTCGCAATAAAGAACGGCAAATTTCGCGAAGACATCATAAATTCACGACGCCGCTCGCCGTGTCTCTTCGCTTTCGAGGCGTCGCCTGACGTCGTTTCGGGGCAGTAAATGCAGAGGTGGGCAGAGCGACTATATCGTGGCTTCTAATTTCCACTGGCGACCTTGGGCAAAGAAATCGTAAATTTTTCACACCCACGTGTTTCTACCTGGGCGTGGCAGGCGCGACGAGAGGAAACAGATGGACGACCGAAAGGACGACGATTCTTTCCACGGGAGACAAAAATTCTCTCGTTTTCGCGTCACGAAGCACTCCGACGGCAATTATTTGTCCCCGACATCTTGCTGTTGCAAAAGAGTCGCGCGTTTCCGTGATTCTTCCACCTTCACCGCCAACGCAGTCATAAAATGCCTTGATCCCAGAGAAAAATATGTTGTTGCGAGATACACCCGGCAATAGAAACTGGCATCATTTAATCAAGAAAATGTCTTGCGGAAAACGATCTGTTTTAAGGAAGTATTTGTGTCAGTTTTTCTTCACGAGAGAAAATATGAAAACAAATCTGCAAATGACTGAGGAAATACGCAGAAATACGTTAATAAATTATTTGCTTTGTGATTAGTAATGTGATATGACGCGCGATGCTCATCTTTTATTTGTTTGTTATTCATCTAGAAAATTAAATATTTATGTTTGCATTTTAATTCAAGCAACAAGAATTAATAGCGCGGCTTTTGGACTGCAAGAGAGTTATGAAGCATTAATTAATATATAAAAACATTTTGATGAACTTTGGGCTCTCTTCAGCCCGAGAAAACACAAAAAGAACAGTAAAATTCAAAATATATAAAAATTATGAAAAGAATGATCATCACATGTCAAAGCAAATTCGATCAGAGTTGCACGTGCGATCGGTTAGTTCAGTTTTTGTTCTGTAATTTATTTTAACCCTATTTTGATCCTTCTCTTTTTATATTTTTCATCTTGTTTGAAATTGTTTCTCGGGCTAAGGACAGCCTGAAGTTATAGTCTTCGTTTTTTGTGTATTGATTAATAGCGATTCGTGATTCTTGTGCTTCAATAGCCGTGCTTCGTCCGATTCTTTTTTATCATTCTTTGCCTTTGAAGAATCACACATTAGAGTTTTTCTAACTCATGATCGCATTGAATCTTCCAGCCTCTTTCAAGGATTCCCGACTCGCTCAAGGAATTCGCGCAAACGGTCTATTTCTTGCTAGTAAAACCTTTATGGCTCTTATCTTTTCTGAGCACCTCTTCAATTTTATTAGGCGCATCAACTTGAACGGACATCCCATTCAGCCCTCGATTCGCACTGCGGTTTTTAGGTTTCACGAAATTCCACTGTTATTTCTCACGACAAATGCTTTTCACTTTGTGTATAACTACGCAAATTTCTGGGATCCTGGCATGGAAGCGGTTACGAACGCAACCCATACTTTGCATACCGTTGCCGGGGAAAGTTCGCGATATACCCTGTAATCAGAACACTTTCGCTCCGCCAAATGCAATAAATGCTTTCGTATCTGAATGCAGGTGCGCGAATCGCTTTAGTGATGTGCACATTTCACCTGCAATTTCGTAAATGTGTCCTTTCCTTACACCCTGTCTTTAATGCTCGGCCGACAAAGCTCGCAAGAAACTCTGCACGCAGCCCGAGTCGAAATTTGCTAGAATTGAATTCTTCTCACGATTTTAATTAAATATTGTAATATTTTTATTAAACAGAATATTGATAAATAATTTAATTAGATTTTCATTATTATTTATTTATTATATTATTATTATTATTTTATTTAAAATAAATTCAATAATTGAATATTGAATATATAGATACGAGAGGAAGAAAGAGCAGTATGCAATTAAATTTCTGTCAACGAAAGATTATTACAATTATGCAAACATCCGGGAATATTTGTGCTGATTCTTGATTTAATTGAAAGCGGCTAATTTTTTATTGAGAATCAAGAAAGATTTAATGTGCAATGTTGCTATTTTCATTATCGAGACGTGTCACTCAATAGGGATGAATTTTTCTGTTGCAGAATGGACTATGAGGAAACTTGGTACCGGCTGGTACTAGACGAACGGTCGGCCACGCTTGTGCGAAATCGTCGGTCATTGTTGTCGGCGCGTCTCCGATCCGTCCAATCCCGAAGCCAGCGACAGGTGTCGCGTGTGGCAGCAGATACGAGCTCGACAGGTGCGATAATCGGGGGTGGCCCGGTCGTTGCCGCCGCCGGGCCGGCGATGCGACGATGAGCTCGCCGAGGGTGCTGCTACCCCTCCACACCCGACCAAAGGTGAGTAATATTTTGTAGTATTTTGTGATTGAATATCACATCTTTTCGGCGCGTACCGTTTTTTCTCTTTAATTGAGAAAATTTTATTTTGGCGCTAGATGAACTCTAAAAAAGTTAAATTGATCAACTCTATGAAATGAAAAGTAGAGAAAATTGATAAATACTAATCGTGTATTCTGTTATCAAGAAATTTTGATCGATTTGATTATCAAACGATCTATAATGTAAAGCGAATCGTCAATCATCTATCAAACTTTAAAATGAGCACACCTTGCGCCTATTATCGATGCGATATGTCTCGCTGATTTGTTTGTTTAACCTTTGAATCTTGTGACGTAATATATTGAGGAAATGAAACGTGACGTCACAAACCTTCGTGCGTCACAAGATATGCGAAAAGGCAGTACGTCCTTCTGCCTAGCGAGCGTAATACAACAATATCCGGAGAGAACCGCGGCAGAGACAAAAGCGCGTTTGTTAATGCGAGTGGTGCGGCGCGGTACTCTGGAATACGACGTAGTGTCTCTCTAATGTGTAAGTCTTTCACCTTTGTGTCCCAGCAGCCCCGCGTAGTAGCAAGGCCGGGTAGTCTCGGAAACTGCGGCAGTAGCAGCAGCAGCAGCAGCGAGGCCGAGCGACGAGGAGCGGCAGGCGGTTCAAGGCCGAAACTATTCGCGTGGCCATGGACTACGAGGCGAGGAACGGAACCGGCAGCAACGACAACGAGGAGTACACCAATATTTACTTCATCGTCGGCGACCGCAGGGAGACGGCCACTTACAAGACAAATCAGGTCACGGACATGGAGCTCAAGGGTGAGTGTGCGAGGGAAACTTTTATTACTCTCCCGGGCGAAAAAGTTTCATTGACTTTGCCATTGACTTGGTATTCAGCGAACTTTTCCCCTTTCTTTAATGCCGCGTTCTTAAGAAAGTATGCATGTTATGGTGGAGGTATGATTAATTGGTATTTTCATAAAGTTATCGCTACGCTTTTATAGACCGGCGAAGTAAAATTTTTAATTAAAGTAAAATTAAAGCAATTAGTGCGTTCATTTCATATGTTTGCTTTTATAAAAGCGCAGACAATTATGTAAAATACACATTCAAATTTCTTATATTTATTAATGTAACTAGGAATTTTTTTCACAGAAATGCTAGAAATTTTGATAAATTATTATGATAATAATCGATGACGTATAATAAAAGCATAAATTATCGTGCATTTCAATTTACTACGTAAATTTTTCTTTTACTACAAGGATTTAATATTATGGCTTGCATCATAAGAGACTTAATTATAATATTAATAAATCAGTCCACAAACTTGTCTTTAGTCGAACCAATAATGAATAATTTATATTTAAATTTAAAAAAACATGGAGGATTTTTAAATAAATTTTAACTCTTAATTGAAGTCTACGTGAAAATATATATTGCAGAAATTCTCTCTCTCTCTCTCTTTCTCACAGGATTATTGTTTTCACTATCTAAATTATGCAAAGCACCTTGCATAGTGCATAGTTTGAAAGTTCCATTATTATCATCAAAGTTGGATAAATCTGCGGATTCAATAAGATTCATTGCCGTTGCGAGAATATTCAATTTATCAGTAATCTAATTGAATCGCGCAAGAGGAAAAAGATGTTTTCGTAAAGTTAGCCGCTCATTAATCTTTCGGCGAGAGAGACATTTTATCAGGGTCGAAAATCTCACACCGAAACGCGTCGTACCTGCTCCCACGTCTTCTTCCAAATTATTCACTCGGACTGTACGATTGTGTGCGGAAGTGTACTTCGCCGCGATGAAAGCGGCGGCGGAAAGCTTCGTGCTTTCCGTCGTCGGTGGCATCGCGAATATTAGGCATTCGCGATGCCACATTTAATTATCGATTTCGACGCGACACGCGCAAGCTAATTCCGAGTGGTCGAGACGCTCGGTTTATGCCTTTGGTTCGCTACCATCCGATATGTATGAAAGCAGTCCTCCGAAGCACTACCAAAATTATGTTTGCACACACTTCACCTTCGTGCCGTGACCTATCGACCGGACGGCCGCGCCATGTCGTTTCTCCCGTCTCCGATCGAGTGGCTGACCGACCGGTGCTTCTCCCGCAACCCTCGTCTGGAGGCAAAATAGCATGAATACGCACTTGTGCCAACTCGACTCCTTCAACCCTTTCACGGTTGAAATGATTATTTCGAATTTGAGAGAAGTGACGACTTGGAGAGCGCGCAAAAATAGCCGGATTGAACATTTTTCATCTCCCTTATTCATTTTGTTTGATATTTTCGTTACATTCTTACCTTCTTTCTCTTTTTTTTTAACTATGCTCTCTCATTATTTTTCTTTTTTTATTTCTTATGGCGTATCGTAGTTTTATTTTATTTTGCGTATTGTTACCGCAGTGCGCATTATAGTTTGTAATTGTACCGTAGTTTCATTATACTTTTTGTATCGTTATTGCGGTGTGCACTGAAATTCTATTTACATAGCAACACAATGGATTTCTCATTTAATTTTTGTGCAACTTGGAATATTGTTTAATCAACTTTTTCATACTTTTTGAAATTTTATTAGGTATTTATATACTATAATGCTTCAATGGATACATTTAAAAAAGTTTCGACGATTTATTCTCGACAGGCTAATTTTAACTATTCTCTGATACGATACATTTTCAAACATCGCGAATCTTTCCCAATTAAAAAACAAAAAAAATATTTTATGATCAAATTGAGCCGCTTAATATCACTTAATTGAACGAAATCCACCGCTATTTCGACTTGTTTACGCACAGGAAATTCGCGTTTGATAATTGGCAATTACAGATATATAGATTATTTGATAATATATTAGTCAATTACGGTTCTCGGCTCATTCAAAATTAACTATCAGAAATAGAATATTCCAATTTTCGAAATGTCGATCGCGGTAATTATCCGCGCGTGTCTAACGGCGATATTATCTGGTAATTATAACAGCGAAATAGGTGTCATTACGGACGATGATTGTATTACGCGAATTTAACGATGTATTACATGCGCTAGGCTTGCATTACGTAATTAAAATTCTAAACGCAATGTGTACAGTCTTGTATGTCGTTTAAGGGAAACAGCTTTGTCAAGCAGTGATGTTACCAGCGGTAACACGACGGTACAAAGTCATATTACAACGTGGACAAGGCGTCATCGAGGTCTTACCCTATAGCATGATCTCCGACCTAAAGCCGTGTCGTCCTAAAGCCGAGCTTTCCAGCCTCGAGCTTTAACTTCTCTGTTTGACAACTGGAGAAGATTACACTTCATGTTAAATCGCGACTTTTCATTTAAAACTTCCAGCTAGTAGTTTAAGAATGATGCAATATGTATGCAGACCGCGTCGCCTACAATGACAAACTTTTCCTCAACTATACTCGTAAATCACGCGGATGCTAAAAACCGTAGTAAAAAGAGAGGTGATTGTTTCAATGTCGGTGAATAGTTTTAAAAAGTTTTTTTTTTATATAAGTGTGTGTCTTTTCATGGGAAAACTTTTATTGCATTTTAATATTAGAAGCGCCGGGAGAGGAGAAAACAAGATTTAAATGACTCTTTCCGACGACTTTTCGATAAAGTAGAACAAAATGAATAAAGTGATTAAGTTTCAAAGCATTAAAAATTAAAAAATTGTGTAATATTTAATTCACATAATCGATAACACTGCAGTGCAGAGACATTTGCGAAATGTTAATTTGTAATAAAATGCAAGATTTTCTTAAATAATTTTTCTGTATTGTTATCATATGATATTGTTATTATTTTATTTTTACTTTTTCGTCGATGCAGCATATAAAAGTTAGGGAAAGCTTGCTTTGAGATGCATCGAATTATTTTCATAAACAATGTGGTTTTAGTTATTTATATTTTTGCAATGAATTCAACATTTTGACAAATTTTTAAAACTCTAATCTTTGAATTGAAAATAACATTAAGTTATATATTTTTTATTCTAAAAATACGTGATAAAGTGTCAGAAATATTCGTGTCGAGTATAATCCGAGTTGCCGAATGAAATATTATGTCGAGCACGGTTCTCGATTTATAAAGATTAATGTTGGCAGTTTGGAAGTGGTCTGTTTTTCAGTTTTGATCTTAGGTATGAAGCATCGTTTTATTCATTTATCTTCTACAGTATTGTAGGATGTATGCTTCCAAGATTATTACTGCTATCAGTATTATGGCCGTTGTTATTGTTTCGGTCGTATTTTCTCAGAAGACCGCGAGCTACCGCATCTTTCCACCTCACTTTGATGAACATAGAACGCTTCGCTGCTCGTTCTTGTTTCCTATATAGTCGTTCCCACTTAACTAAAAAGGCTTTTAACGAGGCCGACTTTGCGAAAAATGTGCCACGAGAATGTGCCACGCAACCGATCGATATGCCGTCGCGGCCGGCTGAATCGAACCTCTCGCTTTTCGCTTCTCGGCAAATGAGAGTTTTACACCGCTCGCGGAGTAACGGAAAGTCCACGCGTCTTTTCCTGCAACGAGATTTTTCCGATAATTATTCATCGAGCTATGTTTCCGGCAAACGTAGATAGCTTTGCAAGAACAAAGAAAAAAAAAAAAATAACGATGCCGCAAAAGTGTCTGTGACAAGAAATAAAGAAAACGTCTGTCTATATTCTTTTTGTTTTTCGGAACGTGTCGTGTTTTTTATCGAACTTCTTGCAATCTCCCGAAGGGTTGTTAAAGCAGAGCTGAGCGAACTGGGAAATCGAATGCCCGGCTGGGTGCAGCTCTAAATGTCTCGCACATGTTTTACGTGGCCGAGGACAGCCGCGTTGTCCGACACATAAACGACCACTTTTGGCCATTTTATTGATCATAAACGGAATTGCACCGCCCTCGGACCTATTTCCAGGATACTCTGTCGAGAAAGGGTTGCGTAAGCCGCAAATTGGAAATGTCGAACTAAAAAATATTCTTTGATACTTTTATCACAAACAATTTTTACTTCCAATTATTCTGTTGTTCAAACGATATCATATTGCGTGTTGCAATTAATTCCTACGGTCAAGTTAAAATTTGTCAAAGATAATTTATTTTTTTTTTATCTTGACTTTAAAGAAAGTAAAAGTTATGATTGCTTATGTATGTTATGCGTAAAACAGATCAAGAATGCAATAATATATGAATAAAACATATTGTACATGAAACATATGAAACACATACGGAGACATAAAAAATGTTTTATGTTTGTCAGAAAGTTGATAAAAGTAACAACGCGCACTTTTTTTTTATATAACTTTTGCAAAGTTTTTGCAAAACTATCGCGAAACTTTTACGAAAGCAGCTCTTATTGCAAAAGCCACTGATGCATTTTCCTACGTTTATATCTTTTCCTTTCTTGCGTTTAATAACTGCGCCGTGGGTCGAGATAAAACTTTTTTTTTATTATAAATCATGAGCTTTATATTGGCTCTTAGAACTTCCCGACGTGCTCATCTCGTTATAACCCATTTGTCTTACGTCATTTCTTTTGATGTTTTTGCTACCACTGTAAACCTACCAGGGGCCACTTTGCTACAGCATGAGCAAGCTTTTGTTATCGTGATATCTCATTATCCGAGACGAGAAATTAATATCGGGTGCCGTCATTATACTCTCTCGTTACAGCGAGATTGTTGCTACGATGTGAAGTCGACATCGGCGGCGCACGTTGCTCCTCCTCCCCGTGACGCGGACAATCTCGGAATTGCATCGCTGTGGCGGTAATTTTCATTATTGTCTCTTTCTCTCTCTCTCTCTTTTCTTTCTCTCTCTCTCTCTCTC